GATAGTTCACTAGCGGATGGTGGGGGGAATGGGGAGGATCCCGATTAAGATCCCATGGTTCCGTCGTCCCGGGCTATCGTGGTCCCTAGTCTACTTAGTCAGAGGAGGTAGTCGACCCAACCTGACAGAAGGATCCTTGTCGGCAGCCATGGGTTGCTTCGTCCAAGGGGACCTTGTAGACCTGGGCTGAATGTTTGTCTAAGGGGACAAATTTAGTCAACCTTAGCTAACAGAAAGCTTTATGCCTTATTAAATGCACCCTATAATTCATTACTCAAGGGGCTTTTAACCATTGGAGAACATACGGGCTTTGACCATAACCGTAATATAGTGGTGCTATTTTGCAGCAAAACCACTCGGTCAGAGGGCACATGCCACATCTCCACTGGCAAGAAATCATTTGAGAATGAATCATAGTGATACATTCAATTAAACATTTTGCTCTTTGTGAGTTGAAGTTATTCTGATATTTATCATCCTTAACAAACGTTTGCGGATGATGGATGGAATTTTGCTTTAAGTTTTAAATAATAAATTTTATTTGAATATATTAAAATTTATCAAGATTTTTGTTCCAAATATGTATGTTTTGAAGTCCCATTCGTTTGAGATTAGCTTTCAACACGGTCATCATCGGGGTGAATTTGGAGTTATTTGCAAATTTTTATAATTTATAGAAATTTGAGGGCATTTAAATAGTTGATCCCCTCCGGTTGATATAGACTTTCAACACGGCCATCATCGGGGATGAAATAGCATGTATATTAGGCTTTTAAAATTTAATTTACATGCTTCTCGAGCTGACTTGCTTCTCAAGACGGTAACACTCTTCTTAGGGCAGTCACTTGCTTCCCAAGGCTGCTACACACATCTTAGAGGTGTCGACGCCCTACTCGATTTTGCATATTGAAATTTAGAAAATTCAATTTTAATGCAAGAGGAGGGCATTTTAAATGTTTGAATATGATTATTTGTGTAAATGATTTCCATTAAGATATGCACAAAATTTTATTTAGAGGCATACAAATGTCTTCTGTCTGATTGTAAAATTGGTGCGGATCCGGTGGCATTTTTTATTCTCTCTAATATTTTGGATCATACTTATGAAGTGGTTGTACATTTATTCAAATAGCTATATGCTTCTCAATATAGAACTTTGAGATTGAACAAATAACATATCAAAAATGTTCTTCATGTAATTTTGAGGCGATTACTACTTCACATTTGATAATAATTTTTTCTCTGTTTGATAAGCCACTAAGGTATAAGTTGGCAGAGATCAGGTGTAAAAATTTTTTACACGCCAAGTCCATAGCTTAAAAGAATCAACATAATCTCTCAAGTATGTGAACTATATTAGTTAGCAATACTTTCAATTTAGGTATTTTGGTCCAATTGACTAATACTTTGATCATTGGAATATTTAGACACTTGCATAAATAGATAATTTTGATGTTGAAGCATCACCCCCTTTAATTGAATATTTTTGAAAAATTTCTCAGTAAGTGTCTTTGTGAACAACTTGGAGTCATACTATATATCATAGATTTTTAGATCAATAGTAAATAAAACACAAGATGAAAATTTCTCTTTAGAAAGATTATGTATACTTTCTAGTAGCAAGCTAGAACTTGTTTCTCAAGATATACCCATCTTGTTTATTATTAGCCATTGCATATGCTTGAGATTCAATCTTTTTCTAGGTTGGTAACCTTTGCCGCTCCATCAATATCAAGCATTAGAAGAAGTTCATCATATGAATGTTGCATGCATTCTTTAATAACTTCTCCTTTCCCATAATTTTTTTTTTAAATGAAACCTTGCATTATTTATCTTGTACTTTCTAACAAAGTCAAAAGCCATTTTAAATGCTTTATCCATACTTCCATCATACATGAATAACACTTCATGGGTGAAGAAATGGTTGACTACTCCGTTTTTTTTTTTTTAATTTCAATCAAATTGGTTGGCTGCTCCTTTTATTATTATTATTTTTAAAGATCATTTGCAAGACAATTAATAATCAACATCTATGTTAAACTTGCAAATGTGTATATAAAAAAAAAATACAGCAAGGTGATTCAACTTCAGCTTTGTATCAAGTGTTAAATACATAAGCTCCGACTTGATATATTTCTCTTGTTAATTTCTAAGAATACATTAATGACACCTTCTGGAGCTCATTTATGTATTGACCTATGAATCTTCATGAATGCTCAGCTCTTGCATTGATTATGCATAGTGAAAAATAATATAATATTTCTCCATTCTCACCAAGATTATTAGAATTTCAGTTTTTTTTTTAATAATATACTCAACTAAGATGTCACTTTTGTTTTTTTTACATATATAATATGAAGGCTCAACCTTTTTTTTTTGTATAAATATTTCCAAAGAGTTTCCATCATACCACCATGACCCAAAAGGCATAACAGAGAAATGTTGCCAAACAAAATAATTTAATATTCAATAAATTGATTTTTTTTATCTTAATAATTCAATTTTAACTCAAGTATTCTTCATAAATTTTTTTAATTTAAGTCCAAGAAATCTTCCAAAATATTTTATTTTTGAGCTAAAGAATTATCAAATTATTTTTTTAAGCTTTTGTCGTCAAAATTTTGGCAGTATCCCGGCGTCTCCCCCACGTAGGGGGCATCTACAGGAATTATAGACCTGTCCACCACGATAAGAAAAGCGTGTATGGTAGGTGTCCTCTTTCGAGGACACCGCGACCGTGTAAAGTCTTTATCCCCACCACGCTAAGAAAAGCGTGTATGGGTCTTCTAGCGGTATCTATTGCAAGAGAAAAAGCAGTTGTTTCCCCGCAAGCGGGTACTTATGGGTATCTCGACTTTGTCGTACGCATCGCACCAGGTTCCCTCCTACCACGCTAAGAAAAGCGTGTATAGGTGGTTAGCTGGTCCGCCACAAACATCGAGAACCGGATTTGAGATTTTAGAGTTTGGCGAACGATATACCTTGACGAGCGAGCAAGACGACGACGTCAGAGATTTGTGGCAAGGCTGATTTTTTTTTTTTGTTATATTTATTTTCTAATTTTTTTATTTTATATATATATATATATATATATAAGCAGAGAGAGAAAGGTTAAGAGAATTTGGTGGCTTTTATATGAACAGACAAGTAGCCAAGTTGGGATTGGAGGAGTTGTAGATATGAAGATCTAGTGGAGTGGGCTTGTGGATTGATGACTGGTGGAGCTAATGAGAGGTTGAGGGCTGTATAGATGTGAGAGCGAATGAAAGGGAGTAAGAGCTGCTATATGAATCGGCTTTTTGTATGGAGTGGTAGGAGGGATAGAGCATAGAACACTAGTAGGCTTGTAGAGAAGTAGAAGAGGGGGACG